CTCTCCCAAATAAGCATAACAAAGATGAGGCAGTAGTTGCTTTAGTTCCAACTTAGAAGGCTACTGAATAGATGGTAGTGACTTTGTAAGTCTAGTCCCCAATTCCTCAAAGTAGCATTTGCGCGTGTATGGCGGGTTAGTTTCCAGAAACTATGCACATGCCTCAATCTTAAGAGAATTTGAGTGAGTAGATTAAGAGTGTGCAATGCATGCCTTATATACATTAGATAGGTTATGTAGCATATATGTCTTGGACCACTCTATCGATCACATCTATCTAAAAACAGTTGTTTGACTAAGTAGGAAATTTCGTGGTTTTGAAGACATTGAATGAAATATGTTCCATGCCAAGCCCCAAGATTAGTTGACCCTTCTGAACATTGATAAGCGCTCTTTCTGTAGCTAAGAATGGTCGGCCCAATATAAGTGGAACATCTTTGTCTTCCTCTATGTCCAGGATGAGAAAATCAGCTAGAAAAATGAATTTTTCCACTTTAATCAACACATCTTCAATAATCCCTATTTGATGAGTAAATGATCTATCAACTAGCTGCAGAGTTACCATGGTTGCTTTAACCTCTCCCAATTCGAGTTTCCTGAAAATAGAAAGTGACATCAATTTAATACTTGTACCTAAATCGCATAAGGCCTTATCAAAATACAATCTCCAACAGTGCAAGGTATAATAACACTCCCTAGGTTTTTAGTTTTGGAGGTAGCTTTTTCTGAATTCTGGCACTACACTCTTCCGTCAACATCACTGTTTCATGTTCTTCTAGCTTGCATTTATTGGATAGGATGTCATTCAAAAATTTGGCATAGCTAGGCATTTGAATGAGTACATCAACAAACAGAATGTTGATGTGGAGTTTCTTGAAGACGTCAAAGAATTTTTTGTGCTGTTGATCCAACTTATACTTCTTCAATCTCTAGGAAAATGGAATAAGAGGCTCATAGGGATTGACAGGAACGGTTGCCTTAACCTATGGTGTATTTAAACTCTCCTTAGTAGATGCTTTCGTTGTCTGTTCAGTCTGTTCCACATGCTCCTCATTTGAAGAAGGTACTGTTTCCTTATTGCAACTGGCCTTTTAACATGTATTTCTGGTAGTTACACTCCACTTTTAGTTGCAATTGCCTTGGTGTGTTCCTTAGGATTTATTTTAGTATTGCTAGGCAAAGTACCTGGTGCTCTGCCAGACATGCAAAATGTCATCTGTCCTATTTGAGTTTCTAAATTTTTAATAGTGACATTTTGATCTTAGAGAGTTGCTTCGATCTTCCTCATGAAATTGATTATTTGCTTCCATGTATTGATTTGTTTTCTCCATAAATTTTCCAAACATCTCCTCCAACTGAGACTTTTTCTCTTGCTGGTGGAATTGACCCTGTGGCCTATTCTGATTCTGATTACCCCAAGAGAAGTTTTTGTAAGTATCTGAGTATGGGTTATTTTGTTAACATTGTCCCCATTGTGCATAATCAACTTGTTCCATTCCTTGTACCACAATTGGGCAATCTGCGGTATTATGATCCACTCCACACTCCTCACAACTTGGCTTCTTGACTTGTGCTACATTAGCTGACTGTGATATACTTTCTACCTTATGGAATAGAGAATCTATTTTCACATACAAGGCTGAGTAAGTATCCACCTCATATACACCTGGCACTTTCTATTGAACACTCCGATTTGACACCCACATGACTAAAGTAGTAGCCACTGACTCAAATAATTTCAATACTTCGTCAATGGTTTTTGTTGATATCAAACCATTAGATGAAGAATCCACCATGCTTTTGAAAGATGGAAGTAATCCTGCATAGAAATATTGGACTTGGAGTCCCTTGCTGATACCATGATGAGGACACTTTTTAAGCATGTTCTTGAATCTGTTCCAAGTTTCGTCAAAAGATTCAGATTCACCTTGACGAAAAATAGATATATCATGCTTCAGTTTCTCTATCTTGACGGGTGGAAAAAGCTTGATACATAACTTTTGTGCTAGGTCATTCCATATGCTAATACTAGCAATTGGTTGCGAATCCAGCCACTCAAATGCTTTATCACGCAAGGTATAAAGGAATAGCCTCAGTCTAATAGCATCATCTGAAATGCCCTAATATAAAAAATGTTGACATATCTTCAAGAATCGGGAGACGTGTTTATATGGATATTCTTTAGCTCTGCTATAGAATTGATGTCCGTTTTGAAATAGATGTATGACGTTGGTCTTTAGCTGAAAATTAGGTTGCCCAAATGGAGGATAGACAATGCTTGATTGACTCTAAATGATTTGTGGGGTCATGAAGTCTCCAACAAGCTTATTTTACTCAATTACAACTTAGTCTTCATTGACTTGAACTACTAGATTGTTCTGCTCGTCGGTCATTTGTAACTGCTGTTTTTGGTCTTTTTGAATTTTTTGTTGGGCTGCTTTTGCTTCTCTTTGCCTACGATGAAAAGTATTTGATTTCTGGATCAATTTGAATTAATTCATCGTCAAGCAATCTTCGCATGCAAAACCTGAGAAAAATCAAAAGTAGCACTTATATAACTAAAATAAGTAAAACTAAATAAAATAAAAAGTTTGAACTAGTGTCAAAGTAAATAAAATCAAACTAAAACTCAATCCCTAGTAATGATGCCAAAAACTTGTTCACGAAAATATATTTCAAATTAAAGTGGATTGTGAGTCCAAGTATCGTCCCACGCTGATTGATTTAGTTCAATTTTTATTGCCTTGACCTTAACTGAAATAAGAATAACACAATGTACTGTTGTGATGAAAGTATAAATAAAATAGATTACATATGCAACTATGAATGAGTTAACTAAACTAAATGCAAATTGATGTGTTCTAATGAATGATAAACATACTAGGATCGCAAATTCCTTTACATTTTAACAACATGATTGAATATTGAAAAATCAATGTTCCTATTATATTTAACAATCTTTGTTGAGTAATGTTAAACATATTCTCATATATGATCCAACTATATCTCTATGACGAATGCGAACATACAAGAATGCATGATTTTTATGAACACTTAATGATTCACATAGAGTATAACGATATATTTCTATCTCATATCGGACCCTATGACGATTTATACCATGTCGAGCCTACTTTATGACGATTTATACCATCTCAAGCCTACTTTATGATGATTTATACCATCTCAAGCCTATTTTCCATCTTTCGAATGTATAAAATAAGTCATCACATTCACACCATTACCGTGCATAATAATCATGGAGAAAAATAATTTAAACCATTCAATACTCAAAAGCGTATTTTTAATGTCACGAATGTAAAACTAAAGATCAAAAACTCATATCACAAGGTTCATCGTTCTCCTAATACATAAAAAATTTAGCCTAGCGTGTTAGAAGTAAGAAAACAAAAAGATTTTTGAAGAAACGACATCACCCAATTAATTATTGATTTGAATCTTCACCTCCTCGGGTTGTTATTCTCATTTCTTGTCTCCTTCTATTCTCTCAAAATCCTTAGAAATCTATTAGAATGCATGGTGAATGCTTAGGGATGCGCATAGGGTTCTAAAACACGTCCCAAGATTGGTTTCCATAAGAGTTTTAATCAATTAAGGAAACTAGACTTTTCGCACCGGATTTGTACTAGCCGTAGCGTAGTTAAAAGGAATTTGGTCCTCAAAGATGTTGAAACCATGTATGCGACCACATGAAAGTACTACTGTGCAACCGCGTAGTAGTGCACATCTTCCAAAAATTGCAATTTAGTCCATGAACTTCGTTTTCTCGTTTATTAATCTCTTCTCATTTTTCTTCTTCCAATACTTCATGTCTTCACTAAATTGGTCTTTAACTCTTTCACATCCTCATTTATACTTTCGAGTCATCTTTCGACTATATGCACTTTGGTAAGTGAACTTTTGTTTTCTTCCATTTTAGTCATTTTGCTTCTCAATTTCGCGACATTAATCAATGTTGTTGTACAAAACATAATTTATACAAAATTAAGCCATATTCCAACGTAATTACTGACAATTGTCCATATTTTGAGGCCTAAATAAGTGTGAAAAACTTACCAGTGGTTGTGGCGGTGCACTAGTTTGTGGGTGGGATGCCTGGGGGGGGGGGGATTCCATCATTTGGTTGATCATAAATTGGTTAATTTGTAATCAATAAATAATATATGATTAATAATTTGAGATTGTGACAAATAAGTTAGATATATTGTGGCCAATAAATAAGTGTTTATGTGATAGTGAAATCACTATTATATTCATCGTATTTTAAAGTTTTAATTATGCATTTACAAATACTTCGGTAACAAGATCAAAAATTAGGTTATCTAAAATGTATTTCACAAATTAAGTGTGACTTCAAATGTGTTAATTTTAATCGAGAAGGGCTAGACGCACTAAACCGCCAGCTTGTTACGATATATTTAAATTTTTTATGACACGCTACATTTCGTAACACTGTGTTAAATTAAATTTAAATCATGTTACTGTATGTGTAATTTTGTAGTATGTATTATTGTTTTAATAGTATGTGCAATTTTTTAAAATTATAACTTATTAACCCGTGTAACATCACCATCACAACCACTACCGACATTTTTCACCCTTACTCACCGCACGAATAACACTATCCACGTACAAATCCAAAATATGTAATTGAAAGCCTAACGCCACCATCGATCCACACCACCCAATCGGACTTGCACCACCTTCCACCACCAATACCACCAACAAAAACCACCAAAATAAAACTACAAAAACCTCCCAACANGACAAACTTATGCGCACGTCAACTAATTCGATGGGACCCTAAACTTTATAGCTAAATACTCACCTCAGTGGCCTGAGAGAACTCGAATTGGTGACCATGAAATATAAAAATAAACCATTGTATTTTGAAGTGCTTTGTACAATTATTTTCTTAGATCTTGTTTATGTCCAACGTATTAAATATCATTAATATTTTCCCAGCAAAGAGACAGTAATTGAAAACAATAAATCTAATAAAACATTAATCATTTTGATATTAAAGAGTGCTACATTTCAAATATCCGAGCATTTGAAACATTATATGATTAATTGTTCTAGCGAGCAAATAACAAAGCTCCCTTTCACCTCCAAAACTGAATAGCAAAACTACTACCATAACCTTGTTACAATCCCCAGAGATGGTTGAAATTCAAGTTACCCTATCAAATACATCTGTGACAAGCGGAGGCAAGACTAAGAATCGGCAATGGTAACCTCTACCTCAACACCAGGTTCAATAGTGATCGAGGTTATCTGCTTAACCACATCTGGGGAGCTGAACAGGTCAATCACACGCTTGTGTACACGGAGCTCAAACCTATCCCACGTATTGGTACCTGTGGATCAAATTCATTAAAAAAAATTCAAATCAAGATAACAAAAGCCAATAGCACCATGAACATGGAGTTTCTCAATTTAATTCAATGGTAATCCAAAGAAACACAGGTACACAAAATCATTTTTCTAATGCTCCGTCTGAGCCTAATCTTACATCAAGAATCTAGACTTCAAAACTACAATTCGCCACTCAATCTTAACAAACAATGGACTTCTAGGAAAAGCAACAGATAATCAAGATAATCACTGCAAGTCTGCAAGTTCCGATGGAAAAAATGAGTGGTGGTTAACAAAGACCCTAGAGTCATATCTAATCAAAAGACAACCAATTTAAAAAATGAAAAGAATTTTGGAAAACTATTGTGACTCAACTGTTTCTGAGTAATCAAAAGATATCTGCTCTCTAAAACAGAAAGTTACTGTAGATTTGTGCAGGCCATAATATCAAAGCCTTGAAGGGCTAAAAGCTCTGTTTTGTAAAGATCCGAATTCTTCCCATTTGGGGGTTGCAAGGAAAATGAGCATTTGCAAAGAAAAAATATTTAATCTTTATTCCAAAATTTCCCTCGCTCAAAAATTACAACTAGTGCACTAAAATACTCTCTCCCGATTCCAATCATTAGAACCTGCAAGCCAACCCAATATCCTGTACACCACTCTGCTTCCACCTGCTAATCCACTCCTCATGAAACACTGCTTCCAAAGCTAGTGTTTCCTTCCACAAACAACCCAGTTCCAAATCACTTTCTCTGCAACCACTAAGACATCTCTTCAGACCTAACTCACTATAAATCTCATGTAGTGTTAAACAAACCATAAGGGGACTTACACATCACCACATGCTAAACATTCAAATTGGCATTACGTTGAAGTAATTTAATTTTTGTGCTGACATGAAACAATGGTTCGTCGTTGGATTTTTACTTGCAAAATTTTATGTTTTCATAGGTCTTTTCTTCAAACTATTTTTAATTTCTTCACAGAAAGTTCACTCAATTTATTAGAGATGGTGGAATTGATAGTTGATTTGGAAGTGAGTGGTGTACTTGTTCGCTGCAAGCCATGAGCTTAAATTTCACAGAGATGGCAGTTGTGGGAAACCAGTGATATTGTGGATGCCCCGATGTTATACACAAGATGAATGAAAAAATCAAACACAGTACCCATCTTTTACTCTTATAAAAAATTTGTTCAGAACCACTAAATGGCCGAAAATATAGGAATTGGAGTGAAAATGCAGTTACAAGGCATAAGAAATAGCAAGAACCTACACCAAATAACCGATAAACCTAGCTATACTACATCCAATAAAGAACAACATAAGAAACCACAGCTTCAAAAATCTACTCACTCCAGCATCATTTTGCCAAGCAACATACCATATATAAGGATTACATGTCAAGGGAAGTATATTCTTATATTCGTGCTGGAAGTATTACCTTCACCACAAGGTGACTTCCGAGTAGTGATGTGGAGAACCTTAGTTGGCATTCTCACTGGTCCCTTGACCCTGAGCCTCTTATCTTTAGCACCGCGAACCAAATCAGCACACACTGTTAAGAAAACGAGTCAACAAAGCTTCAAATTAGACAATTATTTCGATTGATTTTATCATAAACTATATAATAACTGCACCTAAAACGTCACAAATCTGTTGTATTGAAATCATTTCCCCAATTATAGGATTTCATCTAATGTGGGCAACAATTACTAGCCATCGAATTGGAATACAAAACCCAGAATAATGGACCAAACACGTAGCTATTATAAGGCTGAATGATTTTTGCAATTGATTCAGTTTTATGAGCAACATACTGTACTACAAATTGGTAAGCCATAAAAAAGTTTCAAGAAATATCTCTCATCCAAACTAAATATGCTAATAATGATACGTATATCACGTAGCAACATAGGAAATCACACACACTAAATCTGAGCCACAAAAAGAAAAACTAAATAGTTATCTCAACACGAAGGTACGACAAACAAAGCATAATCAGCAAGAGTAATGTCTCAACAAATAGTACTTTTAAAATGGCATGATCAAATCGCAACCTTATATAGACCGTGCTGCAATACCTTTCTCGAGGTTCTTTACATTCTTCGAGGAGAGAGTGATACGGATCTTATGAATTTGCTCCTGGGGCTCCTCCAACCCAGGCTTAGTTGGCTTCATCGCTGCGTACGCCATTCTTTCCTTTGATTTCTTCTATAAACACACAAAAAATAATTTGAAGTTTCTGAAAAACCGGAAAAAAAAAAAAAAAAAAAGGTAGCCACCTAAATTCAAAAATCATCTTAATTTATGCGGTATTGAAATGTCAAAATAGGGCGGCAAGAGAGTTTACCGACGGTGAATATGGGCAGAGCAGAGAGCAGCAGTGAAGAGATTTGGCGCTACGATTTCCTTTCGGTGGATGTTTCGTTGAGTTTATAAGCGTTTTAGGGTTTTTCTATTTCTTGTTTGTTTTTCCATTGGGCTTTGGTTTGGAAATAGTTGAGAGATGGGCCAATCCAGTAGTGTACTCTTCTTGGGCTTCATTTTATGGAAGATATACACAAATAGCACTGAGATGAGATGATTTATTGTAATTAAATCATATTCTTAATAAATTTTGATAAAAATTAATAAAATATATTAATAAATATACAATTGAAAATTAATTTGAGAAAAAATAAATTTTAAAAATGAGGACCTAATAGAAGATTAATATTTTGAAATAAAACGACAAAACTTCCCATGTTACAATTTTTTTTTTCCCCATGTTGATCGATCAATTTTAGTCATATTCTCGTTTTAATTTAACAATTGATTACCCAACTTACATTTTAGCAACATAATTTATATCAAATGAATAATCAAACTAAAATAAAAATACCAATTGAGTTATAACATCAAATCAAAATAAATTAAACAAACTAACTAATAAGCTTAAAATTGAGATCCCATGTGTTAGCTTTCTCATCTCTAGACCCTAATATATCGATATGTATTTCATAATTGCATATTAAAATATTTCATTTTCTCAAAGATGCTTATATTTTGGTAGAGTTAAAGAAATTTAAAGGCTTAAAATTTTTGTCGGTTCCCATTTATTGACAACATGTCAACATAGAAAATTAAAAGAGAAATTACAATAGGGGTCCCCAACATTTGGGTTGTGTAGCATTTGAGTATTCAGCCAAGATAGAACTCATAGAATCCTCTCTCATCAACTTGCATAAGGAAATCACCATTAATAGGCAGAAAAGGCACAATTAGTAGCAGCATCTAAGTGAAGCATCACAAATCTAAGACTCCATTTTAATATACAGTCTCATTCTTACTAATATAATAAGACGGTAAGATATATGAAGGGCTAAGTGATAAGAAAATTGCAGCTCAGTGGTAGCCATTTTTATCATCACTCTCCATTTCTTCAGCATCCTCAAACCGTTGATCGTTAATTTGAAGCTGCAAGAGACGTGAAAACATCAATTCCAATATAGCAAGCAATAAAAAACCCATTTAGATTTTCCATTCAAGCAACAAAATAACAACCAAGGGTACAGCTACTTTCTGGCAGAGGAAATTTTGGAAGGGGAAAATAAATTATAGGAACAAACATGGAGGGGGACATTAAAATCAGTCAACATAGACAATTCAAACGGCCATATCCAGTGTCCTACTTAACCTGTTAAGATGGAGTTCATTGTCTTCGCACAAACTTAATTGATGAACAAATAATCTAGTAAAAAATTTCCTTATGGCCAGTAACTTCCCGAGATTGTGGTGCACCACCAATCCAATTGTTGTGATGCAAGATAAATAGTATGATGCATTAATATTCCACCCTACTAATAAGGAAATTCCAATACATGTCCCTCTTCAAATTTGCTTAGCTTCAGTTCTGATTTCTCAAAATTTATCCTGGTTATCAATTTGGAGTTTCTAATTATCAAATGTGACAAGTTTATACCTACAATGTAATCCTATCAATACGTTTATGTGCGTGTGTGAGAGTTTTGCTTTTATGCAATATTTTGTGTTTTGTAGGAGATAATTACCAAGATAATAGGGGAAGATGAAGAACTTGTTTATGAGAGAAAAGGACATTTTCAGCTCAAGAGAAGGATTTGATAAAGAAGAGGAGGAATTGAGATTTGAGAGATCACATATGAGAGCCAGAGAAAATTCAATAGAAGAGACTCGGTACTTCAGAAGGAAAATAAGGAAGAAAGTAGGGGATAATTTAACTGAAGAAGGAAGGAAAGATTGTGATTCTGCTGCAGCTAACAGTTTTAGAGGATAATCTATTAGAGATCATTGTGCTAATAGACTTGGCAGTGGCACAGGCTCCGAAATAAGGTTTGTATTTTGCCATTAATGGTGGTATGATGATGCAGTTTCACGTGGAGGGGTCTACCAGTTGAAGGGGCGGTGATGAGGTGGATAAATGTGCTACTGTGCTCGTGGTGTGTAGTGACAGAAGTGAGATTGAGATATCTGTGCATGAATGCTGCCAGTGGTGGCATGGGTCACTGTATGACAAAGAAAACGGGGAGTGTGTGAGGTGCAACTTTAGGGAAAAAGCCAAAATAAAACAGAAAGAAGAAAGAAGATACGGACAAGAGAATGGGGGATTGTGAAGAAAAGACAGACACAATCTACCCAAATTTTTTAGTACCTGTGCCTTAATTTCTTGACTGAACTAGAAAAACTCTTTATTCTCTAACACTGCAATCCATCATTAAATTGGTACCATATTATATATTGCTCATGCCTATTAATTGGAGGAATTTCTTAAATTACACTCCTAAATTGCAAAAAGTGAAAATTGCCCTTTTGATTTTAATTGTCTAAAAGACCTTGCTTATGAGTAAAATGTCTTAGACATCCTAATCATAAATGGCAGTTTCAAACTAACCAAAATGGTCAAAATCTACTACCGCTAATTACGTTCCACCACTGCTTATGTTTATATGTATATTTAAAGCATAAAAAACACATCGTGTGATTAAAATGGAAGAAGCAACAAGCATAACCATTTATGCCCTCGAGTCCAAACAGTAACTCATGCAATTATGCAGCTCTACCTTTTAAACGTGCAGCACAAGGACCTAAAGCCAGTTCAATCTACCCCCACAGTCAATAGTATGAAAATGACAAACCAAGAAGCAACATTACCAGATCACATTTAAAACCACAGTTATTAAAACCTCCAGGCACCAAATCTACACATACCTGAAGCACTGAACGAGCTAAGTCATGATTCCCGTTAGCACCAATTGAATGGGTTTGATTTTGAGAGACAATCAAGTCAGAATCCTCTTCATCTGCAGCTGCTAATAACAAAGAAAAAGAAAGAGAAGAAGGGTGAAAAAATTATGAAATTTATAGAAGCAACAAGAACAGAGCAGGTCAGATTGATACCCCCATCTTCAAACTGATCAGCACTAAAAATCCAGTTGTGTTCTACTTCTTCTTCTGTTGCAAATATAAATGTAACAAATTGTACAATAAAAACTTTATGATAAATGCCATTCTACTTGAGCATAAGGTCCAAGAGATCATCAATCACCTTCAATAGGCCCAGGATTCAGTTCAGCACATTCACAAAATACCGCAAACAGTGTATCTACTGTTAAATAAGTTGAAAAGGAATTTAGTTTTCAGCAGTAAAAAATAAAAATATATCCAAAAAGATGATATAGTGGATAGATGATGCATATATAAGCGAGAACAATACACTGATTAGGATCCGACGGCACAAGTCTCATCTCATTGATCTTTGATAAGTCTAGTGTATCATTGCACTCAGAATCTGAGCCCTCTGATTCTTCATCCTCAGCTCCGGTATCAATCTTCAAAGAAGGAAAATAAAAAATGGAATATCAGATTAAGTACATTGGACAATGCATATTCTATATGCGTGCACTAACACAAAAATGACAACAAGACAAAATAGTGAGCTGAGGGAAGGAGACATGACACTGTTCTCAGTGTAACATCCCAATTTTTTCTACTAGTCATTAGATTTAAGATTAGGACTTAAATGTACTATTATTAAAGTTTAATGATCTTATTAGTTATTGTCCTAATTATATGACCTTATTAATTACTAGCCAATAGTTTGAGGACCTAAGTCGAGAGTTAATTTGGAAGTTAGACGAAATAATGTGTAAAATATATGTAAATATGCCAATTAGTCATGATAAAATATGATTTATTTGACTACATGCATTATTCACACATTTTAAGTCAATATAATTGATTTGACCACATAAATAAATGTAATTGATTTAACCACATGCATTATTTACATCACATTTCAAGCATGTCAATTGATTTGACCACATGGTTAAAGGTAGGACTGGACATGGTTCAATCTGGTTCGAACCGACCCGAAAATTTCGGGTATTTAGTAAGTGGAACCGTTGGGTCCAAATTTAATTACGGAACATTTCGGGTTCGGTTCCATTCGGTTCCGTGTTATAATTAAATTTTTTAATATATACAAAGTTACGTTAATTTAATTAATGATAGTTCAATATTAGTTCTTACAAAATAACGTGGTTCAATCTTATATGTTTCACGTCTCTCTTTGCTGAATTCTTCATAAATTTGATTATTAAAATCACAGAAAGAGAAAGATAGCAAGCTCAAAATAATTAAGAGAGATGTTGTAGAACTTTAATTCGATTTTCTCCGGTAGAAACGACACTGCTGTAGAATAACAGATTTGGATAAAATTGAGGTCAATTTGATTAAATTGATTTTGAACTGAAAATTAGAAATAGGAAAATCATATTTTGTGATTTGAACTAAATTAACTAGTTAACAAATTTATTTAGAAAAAATAAAATAATTTTACTTATTAAAAAATTAAAATAAATTAATAAAAAAAATTACGGAGATTCGGTTCTTTGGGTCTTGGCCTAGAATCGAGAACCGAACCATACCCGTCGGTTCTTGATTCAAATACCCGTTCGAGTATTTAACTTGAGAAGAACTGTCGGATTCGGTTCAGGAGTTTTGTCCAACCCTAATTAAAGGTATTGATTTGACAACTTTCAAATAATGCACCATTTATGCAGTGATCATGCTTAGCATCTAGTCATTTCCTTTCACTTTTCAACATATGATCCAAAAATTTACACTATAAATAGGAAATAAACCCAACACTAGGTTACCCTCACCAACTATTTACGCTCTCCCTCCCTCTCTATCTCTATTTCTATCACTTTATCTCTTCGCCTTTACTCTCTCTTATCCTTTCATATTAAATATGGTCGTATATTTACAAAATCACATAACACCATACGCAACTCAAGAATCTCTCTCAAAGAATCACTTCTTCTATCATTTTGAAATATCCAATGAAAATGTAAGTGTGCTATTACGTTATTATGTAAGTAATCCTATATATGTTATTTCATGGCATCGTCAATTTATTGTCCGTATTATGTATAAGGTTTGTAAGGATGGATTGAAGTATAGTAGCACTACGCACGAAAAATTTGGTACCATCCAAGTTAAGTCCAATTTTCGTATCTCCTGATACAAGATGAAATTTTCCATGAAATGTATATACATGAACAATTTACTCACACACACTTATTGAGATTTTATCTAACATTATGTCTTTTTTCCCCTTTTCAGAAAATTGATGGCTCAAGGCAGACAACGCAGAGATGAAGGCCATCGTTGGATATTTAAAATAATTTTTATGAAGTTATGTCAACTTTTATTTGATTTATGTTGAATTCATTTTAAGATTTTCTTATGTCAAACGTATTTTCTTTAACATACGCTTATTATGAATAATGTTGAAGCGTAATTATATTTATAAAAATCCTATCGATTCATTTCAACCCTTTCATTTAAGTTTAATTTAAATTTTAGTGATACTCGAATCATTAAGGATTGATGTTGTCTCACTCAGCCTCATACGTTACGTGCTGAACAGGATATTCAAATTCAAGATCTAAGGCCATGTTTGATTGGCATGGAATTCCAAGGAAAATGGAATTGAAATTCCATCTTTCCAATTTTTTGTTGTTTAATTGGCAAAATTTTCCCTAGAATTCATTTTCCACCTTTCTTGCCACATAAGCCAATTTCCACCCTTTCCTAGAATTGGAATTCTAATTTCCGACTACTGTAGGCTTTTTTTTTTCCTTCCATCTCCAATACTAGTAAAATCTATCTTTTTAATTGACAATTTTCATGTAATACAAAGTCAAGCGAACACAAAAAAACACTTATTTCAACGAGTTCCACGTGGAAAATTATACCAATCAAACACAATAATTTACAATTTCCATGAAAACAATTTTTAGGCAATTCAATTACATGAAATTCGTTTTCTTTCCACCCAAATTCATCAAACTTTATCAAAATTTATTAAGAAATCTAATTTTTATCAAAAACCAAACACGGGCTAAATATTCACTACACATGGCTGCTCCATAAAATTAGTCTTCAGATATGATGACCAACAAATTATCATTCGTCCCTTGGTCAATTTAACGGGACAAAACCTTTCTCCAAAACCAAAAATAATCCCATCTGACATAAAATGATATTAATAGACAATCATGTATCAGAGTAGCCTGCGTCAAATATTTTATCGCTTTATCGCAAGCTAAGAAGTTATAATCATCCCCACCTTGGCCATTAAAACATGGAATGCTTCAATAGAGGCCAAGGAAAAGATAATTTGACACAGAATATGCAAAATACATAAAAATCAACATTAAGTGTAACTAATTCCCATACATCGTGCTAGTGGTTAAGATTGAAGGTTTGTGGTATAGACAAGAAGAAATTCAGAGGACAAGCTTGAGTTTGGCTTGCCGAATTGGAATAACATAAATTTAAACTTATATTTACTTTTGCTATCTATGGTCCTGATTCCATGAAACTATATGGGAGGCAATGTTGTATTTGAGTTTAGTCGCACTTACTACTGAATTAATGAATTTGGAATTTATGTGTTAATCTATCTTTTCCTTGCTTGGCATTTGTTGACAAATGTCTTACCTTAAAAGTTGCATGGATGCACAACAGGGGCAATGCATGGACACACGTACATATATTTTTCAAAAAAGTGGGACATGAACATGTTGATTTAAATTCTCTAGAATTTTAAATACATAATTATATCTGTATATTTATCATTTTCAATATTGGACATGGAAAATGGCACGTTGGGCACTTGCTTGAGGGTGTCCAGTGTCGGTAATTTAAAAAATATATAAAAAAATGGTACAAGGGAACCTGAATTGTTGGATGCATGTCCTTGAGCGTCCAGATCTAACACGACACTCGTCGAACAAGAACATACAACCCTAGGACGAGAGTATGTGTATCATAGTTTAGTTTACTGTGAACGACTAGAAAAGTTACAGGCTGTGTTTTTCAAACAACTATCTTATTCTTGGCATTTGCTGATAATTTTTGTTCCCCATGAGTGCCTCGCAGGGTTACAATCTCTGTGTTTCGCTTTTAGACTTGAAAACATATTGCAAGTGCTGATTTTAAACATACACCCTTGAGAACATTGCCCCCTGCCCCCAATTAGATAGAAATCCAAACTCTTAAAAACCAACTGAAATTAAAACCCTCAACCTCAAACAAAAAAAGAAGATCAATGCACCACCAGCTTGAAGCAAGGGTCGAAATTTTTCTTCACCTGAGTATAAATGCAAGGAGAAGAGTAGGCATCGGGGTCCCTCGACACTGCGTGAAGTGACACCGACAAGAAATCTACTGCGTAGCCTTTCGCCCTGTCCGTGTCGCTCAACCATACCACTTGCCTTCAATAAGAAAGAAAACACATTAATTACAAATCAATTAAGAAAATAAACCCATATTAAGGGGAAGGACAAAGATGCTATAATTATGTACTTGGTGGAGATGTAGAGAGTGCCGGGGGATTCAGGTGGGCGGTTGCCGAGGACGATGGAGACACCGGGCTGGACGTGCACGAATTCCTCACCGTCATCGGCGTCGAGAATAGGTTGTCCGGCGCCCTCGCTGGTTCTCTCCGTCGCTAGTCTTAATCCGGTGGCCATTTTCTCTCCGATGGAAATGTGAGCTTGGGGTAGAGATTTTGGATTTACTATCGTAGGGTTTATGTGGTTATTGACAAAGTTATGCCGGGTCCAATTGAATTGATAGATTCTGTAAATCCTATTTATACTTCATAATTTTCTTTTGGGGGCATTTTCAATAATGTCTAATTTCATAGGTGTCAATTAAAAAATGTCTACTTTTTAAATTTAGCACTAAATTATTTATCATGTCCTTAATGAAAAAAAAAAAAGAAGCAATTTATTTATTTTTTCAATTTGTTGCGAATTTCGAGAAGTAGCTTCCATCAGAAGTTACATTAAAATGATGTTATCGACAGTTCAAATGTCATTCTCGATATTTGAATCCCGTTTATATTTTAGAAGTACGCAATGTCAAATCAGAATATTAAATGTTATAGACATTTCAAACGTTATTCTCTATATTTTAAATATCTAGAATGTCATTTCATTCCAAACATGACATTTTTCTACATATGAAATATAATTCTCGACGTTTCTGTATCAGTGAAAAAATAGCATTAATTGTGATTCGAGCACTTTTGTAATAAAATATGACAGGTTGTGTATCAAAAATTTATTGGCCAATAAATTTTTTACAAAAATGTTCATTTCTTGTCTTTGTGTGAAATTATAAATTGTTCACAGGGGCATTTTGGTATAAAATGTTTCAAAATGGACATGTGAAAATGGATATTTCAAATAATTTCTTCTTTTCTTTTAGGGTTTGTTTGAGCCACATTATTTTAAAAAAAAAAATACATTTTTCAATAGTGATATGACATGATTTCAACCACACATTCTTCAACAAAATAATATTACATGCAAATATAAAAATTTTCCTTATTTTTTAACCACACATTTCTCATTGATTTGACATGAATAATATATATTTTTTTTCTAGAATGTGGTTCAAACATGAGCTAATTTATTGCACCCCGTGGATATGAGACTCAAATCATATTGGTAATTACTAATTATGCATATCTTTGGCGGCGACTAAAATTATATTTTCATTAATTTTACAAAATATATGATAAAAAAATTGTGATTTTTATGAAATATTTTGTTAAAATTATTTGTTGCTTTAAATTAGATTAGAAGCCTCGTTTGTCATCCTTTAACAAAATAAATTGTTTGCTACAGTAACATTTTTCATTATACATTCACACAATAAAATATTCTACACACAAATCAATAATTTTTTTTTTAATTTCAACCACACATTCTCCAAAATTAACATTCGAAAATCTATATTTTCTACCAAAATGAGAGACAAACAAGCTCATAAATTTTAATTTCTATCGAATAGGGTCAATAATCATTATTTGAACTTGAAAAAAGTCTTGTGGTAAATTTCATCTGCGGTCACTAAACTTCTCGATTAAAAAAATTTAATTGGATCACACCATTTTTAGTGTCTCGAGTGGGTCAACGAACTTCAACTTAATTTTAACTAAGCATCTTTAATTTTTAGTTTCAAATTTTACCCTCACCTTTTGTCTCCCAAACGGAGATAGGTCACATTATAAGAATGGTAACTTTAAAGATTCAGTTATTAAAAGTTTAATCTAGAAATTGTCATAATTTAATTTAATATTTTTGTTTTCCAGGCCACACGCATCTATTATGTGAAAAATCAATTACGGTAAATGATTGATGACATAATATGTAGGAGTGGTGAAATTTGAAATTAACTTGAAATTCAATAACCCAATCGAAACATATTAAAATATATTACATTAAACTAATTGAAATTAAGTTGAGAGTTTAAAGATGGCAATTCGAATTGTTAAAACCGAAAATCATTGTTAATCGAACCGAATGTGATCAAAAAAATCGAACCGATGGCAAAATAAAGTAAATATGGTATTTAATTTTAATACTCCGGTTCTAGGAAAAATGGTATGGCAATTCGAACTGTCAAAACTGAAAATCATTGTTAATCGAACAAAATGTGACCAAAAAAATCAAATCGATGGCACAATAGAATAAATATAGCATTTAATTTTAATGCTCCGGTTCGATGCAAAATGGTATGGTATTTGCGCCGTCACCCTGTCCCGTTCCGAACCGATTACCAATTAAAAAAATTTAATTGGGCAATTGAATTCTCCATTATTCTTTTTATGATTCTATCCAACCCAAAATTCTAGCCAATTACCGATCCACTAAGTCCAACTAATTTAATCCAATAACCCTACACCCTACTACACAAATATTAAACATATATGAAAATTGTTCGTTAAATTCGAATTTTGCCTTTGGGATTTAGGATATTGTTTGCTAAATTAACTTAATATCGTGTTTTTGTTTTCATTGACTTTTTTTTTCATAATTTTTTTTCCCAATTTAATGGCTGAACCTATAAAAAATAACTTATTTTCGTGATTATTAACTGCACGAACCGAGCTGAACCAAACCAATTTATGTAATTATATTGCGATTATGGTATGACAAAAAATTGATGGTTTTGATCGAACTGAATTGTTGCCATCCCTATGAGAGTTCAATAACTGTAAATGGAATATACTTTATCTTGGATATCCATACCACAAATTTCTTGTTCTTTTTTATTTTTCCTTTTATGTGCTTACAGTGAAGGTTTGTTCTCACACTTATATCTCAACATTTTAATCCCATTCTTATTTCCAACATTTTATAAATTAGCACATATTATCCTTGATAATGGTTAACGTTTAAAAAACGTGTGGCTAAAGTAAAAAGCCTTAGGCCTTGGTTGGTTTGTCGTTTTCGGTTCATTTTCCATTTTTCGTTTTCGAAAACGTGGAAAACGCGTTTGATCCGTCGTTTTTGAAAACGCATGTTCGAAAACGAGTTAAAATTTATAACTGAAAATGCAAAACGATTTTTTATCGTTTTTAGCGTTTTCAATTATAAATGTCGAAAATGTTCAAAACGCGGAAAACGGACAATTTTTGGAGAATACTAAAAATCGTTTTGAAAATGAAAATGCAAACCAACCACTATTTTATTTACTCATACTTTTAAATAAACAATAAATAACGTATACAAAAATTTAACAAATTATTTGCTCCTCATCTCAAAGCACACTTATTTGAGCAAATCATTATCATAAAAATTCTCTCTTTCAGTCAAAATCACTGCAAAAGAGGAGATAAATTGGCGCGAGATGGTTATGAACGCTTCTGTCTTTTCCTTTATAACGCCTTCAACACTATAACCAATTATCGTGCCAATTGAGCCCCCATACCGATTATCCAGCCTTTTCTAGTTGGTTTGGTTCAACATGTGGGCTTATGTCGATACAAAAATAGTAGACGTACATGGGCATTACTTATGGTACAGATAAAAAAAATTGGGCTCTTAATTGGGCTAATGACAAACACTAGAAATGGGATTCTGTAATATCAAGTTTAATTCAAATATGAGACTTAGATGACTTGACATCCACATTACCCGGATTATAAGCAATTACACATGAATCTCTTTACAGTATAAATTAGAGCTCCACGTCTCAGAGGAAAGCTTGATGATGCGTTGGATTGTGCTCTTAAGCCTAAAAAATAAGGGGTGGGCGAGAAGATAGAATATAACCTTATCACCTTGGGCAAGAAGATAGATGAGCCTAAGACCTTTCAAGTGAATTCGCCTAGGAGGAAGAGATCATGGCATGACATTTTACTTAGCAGTGGCAGCCAAAGAGGTGTAACAGGATTTTCTTGCAAATACATGCTCTTCATCGGGAAATCAACGCCAAGAAATTCAAGAAAGCTCGATAATTTTTGAGTTACCTATGATAGTGAGAAGAAGATGAACATTTCAAAGTTAAAAACTGAGGCATCTTCCATTATTTTGTTGTCCGATAATTTAAGGCACAAAATACAGCAGCTTGATCCTTCAAACTGGAATTTACCGGCAGTGATACGACATCAAATTTTCATGCTAAAGCATGTTTGACAATTGTAAACTGAGCTAATTGTACCATATTTCAAACAGTATAATAAATCTGGACTCGCAGAATTTATAACATGGATCAAGACTACTAGTAAGATTCAAGCAGTATGTCATAATCAAAACTGCCTTGATCCAAGAATAAAATTAGAAAGCAAGATAGCAAACGCGAGATCTTTAAAATTTCCTCGCAAAACATAAAATCTAATTTAACATACTCAGCCAACTAAGATAAGTCAAAATCGCCAACAATGGAGAAACTATACCAGCATCCATATTTCCATTTTCATTCAAAACTAATCCAGAAAATCACTATGCAACAAGCGTACTGGCAGTGGTAGACTCGATGCAAAATAGCAAAGTTCCAATCGATGATGGAAAACCAAACGTGCCGTCATAAATCCATAGAAAAATAAGCAGTACCAGACTTCTAAGCCCAATATACGATAAGGAATGTACAGTTGTATGTATATGAAGCTGATTACTCAATTTAAATGTACCAATGGCTTTAAGCCTAACAAATCACATTTGGTATCTAAAATTTATATTTATTTCAGCAATATCCTGTTATTTCCCTGGAGAATGTATTAGGTCCTTGAGCAATGCTTCTTCCATGGATAAACACATTCTTTTGTAATTGGTAGACTCTAAAACATATGATAGAATCAAAAGTGCATAGTTTCACTAGACCTTGACCATCCAACAACCCAGATATCGCGCTCGGTACAATATATGTACTCTAGTGGTTCATTCACTTGAATATATAGCAAAATTAAAAATATTGAATACAAACCTACAAGGAAAAGCTAAAACAAAGAATGTTCATTGTAAAACAAGAATCTTGTCATTCTGCACAGGTAATCAAGTAATTATTTCGATGGGACCAAAGCAAAGCAACGAAAAATTTCAATAATCTTCATTCATATTCACACTTATTCAAGGAAATTCTGTTTTTCCTGAGGCTAACAGTCTTCAACCTACCTTTCATCCTCTCTCCATGTGTTGAATTTATAGAATAGCTATAGAATATTCTAGAATATTAGTGATTGGAGTTAGTCATGACATGATAATAAAAATAATGTCTTGAACATTCATAGAATGAAAAGAAATGCATATTTAGAAAACAAGCAATCAATTCGG